GAGAGAGAGAGAGATGAAGAGTTAGTTGAACTGAGATTAAAATTAAACTATATTGGTAGAAACGAGCACAAGTCGTCAACAAAAATTTTATCCACTCTTAATTATTTCCCATTGAATCTCCTCTTGGAGAAACGTTTTCTCAACATCTTTCTCGGGAGGTAATTTCAACGAATTCTCTCGGATTTTGAGAGAGTTATCATTCATTTTCTTACACGACCACTGACATTTCAATTCAATCGTTCATGCATATTCAAGAGTCAGCGGGATAGACTTCGCGGAATGTACGCATGTTCGCATTCGAAAATACATGTTCAAGAGTTGGGCAATAACTTGATGTTGCCGAGTGTAACTCGGCGCGATCGCCAGAACAAAGCTACGCGTCGCTTTCAGTCGTGGACGTGTCATCGCGTGCGCGATTTTATTTTCGGACGTGATCCGCGAATATATAGGTATGCCCGTACACAAGCTCTTCGGAAAGAATAAATCGCGACCCGGCGCACCGTCAGGCGGGACGAGGACAGATCGCCGCGTTGCCGTGTCGATTCGCAGCAGGCAGGCGGATGGAATAGAGAGGCGGTGACCAGGGTGACCTTCGGACTCACGAGCGACCTTTACCTGCCTGCACGGATCGTACCGTTGTACAGATGTAATTACTCACAGACGGGACTGTTCTCCTCGTCGTATGTGTGTCAGCAATTCCGAGAACCACCAAAGGCTGCGTTCGAAAATACTACTCGAATGCCTCCGAGTATTTTATCTTTGTTGTTCACCGAAACAAAGATAAAATGATACTCGGAGGTACTCGGGTAGTGTTTTTGAATGCAGCCAACGAAAACCTGCCGAGTTCCTTGAGATAACCGTTCGAAAGCGCCAAGTCGAACCTGCGAACTTCTCTCTTGGCTTGGTAAAAATCTGCACGTTTGAAGATGGTCTTTGAATAATGAAAAACCTTCATGATATTTGCATGATCTTTTTCGAAGAAAAATGATTGAATAATTTTCACCTTACAAAATCAGTAAAAATATTATGGCTATTTTTGCTGAACTTATGATAAACTTGCCTGAAATGAAAAATATTGCAGATAAAAAATAATAATCACTAGAATGGATTTATTACTCTACAGTAACAATTAGTGTTAAATATTTCAAAGTAAGTTGATATACATATCCAATTCTGGAAACTGCGCGCCAAAAAAAATCTTTCGGTTTTGAAACGTAATTGTGAACAGAACTAGAATAGTATTACGTATTAAATTGACCAGCAATAATAATTTTTGATAAGCTTAAAAGCTTAAGCTTAAAAGGATATTAATTTGATGCTAATCTAAGTATTTTAAGAACTCTAAATAATTATTGCGAAAAATATTACCTTACAGTAAAGTAAATCATACTATTCTCAAAACTGCATGAACAACTTTTAAGACTTTATATATTTGACTTTATATATTTTATATATTTGAATTTTTCCACACAGTAAAGTAAATTTTATTTAGATGATGTATGGTAATTTATAGAGTTACTTTACGAAATTTAGAAACTTTATGGTACGATCGCTATGGGATCGCTCATTTACTAGAAAAATAACTTTTACGTAAGTGAATTCCTGTTTCTACATGGACCTGCCTGTTAATTCCATAAAATTTATTAAAATTCTATTACTTTACATTTTTTTTTCATGCGGGTTTATTTTTGTAAATTAATTTTAATCTCGATTTAATTAATTTTTTACCTTTATTATCTAATTCTTAGAAAAAAATAGCAAGTATTACCAGAAAAGAATAAAAGGTAAATTAACTCGAGATGTTTTAAAATTAATCGATATGTTTTTATAGACTGAACAGGGTGAGTTCGACCAACTACAATTAATTTAATCAATCAATGGGACCAATTTTATTAATTTGGATGAACTTCTTCTCGGTTTAATTTATTCTTTATCTTTTTCTAATTTCTCAGAACTGGAAAATCTAATTATATAATAAGTTAAGTAGTTATTAGCTAAAAAAAGATCAAAGTTTATCTACTTGGTAGAAGTATCTTGGTAGAAATGGATATCGAAGCGATTTTGACTAAATTCCAATTTAATCCGATTTAGTCTGATTAGATAAGACTAATTCTCCAATACGGGTCTAAAATGGGTCAGTTCATAATTGGAATATGGTGATCTAGGTTATTTTCCTAATTATTATATAGTATAATGATTATAGTATTATATAATGATATGATGAATAATTTTACAATCTCACAATCTTTTTCACTATTTTGTTTTATTAATGGAAGCTAATTACTATGCTATATTTATGCTAAGTTTGGGTGTTGTAATTTTTTATATAGCTGAAAAACTTCTTTTAAAAATAATAATTTAAAACTTTAATGAGCCTCAAGATCTCACATGTTTTTTTAACGTCACAAAAAATAGTTCCGTTACGAATTTATAATTAATTAATTTTAATTTCCACTTAATTTATATATATTCGTTATCTTTTCTACTTCTTATGCTCGTTTCTATCAATGTAGTTTAATTTTAATTTGGTTCAATTTTATATATCTTTCTCTAGTCCTAAAAATTAGAAGAAGAGAAAGAATCGATATTAAAATTAACTTGATAGAAACGGGCAATTGAACTAGAAAAAGATAAAAGCTAACAGTAAGTTGAACTGAGATAATTAAATTTTAATTAAATTATTAAAGTTAATCTACATTGATAAAAATATAGATAGCAGAGCGACTTTGGAAATTATCATTTTAATTGGCAATTAATGTTTATTTCTATCAATGTAGAGTAACTTTAATATGGATTTAATTTTTTATTTTTTTTTAATTCTTAGAATTAGAAAAAGATAAAAAATAAGTTAAATCTTAAAGTTAATGTATATTGATAGAGAAAATATAATTCGGCTGGAGTGGACTTGCTTGTAACAAAATTTTCAATATCTATTGTTCCGAACTTCTTGATCTTCTTTTTCACGTATTAAATAGTGTGAAATTAGTTTCGAGTGAGTTAATGAAATAATTTAAGTATTATTTGATAAGCTAATCACTGGTTAATTAACTGGAGTTTAATGGAAAGCGATTAAGTTAATTGGAATTTTATGGAAGTTGCCCTACAATTAGAGATAAAAGTGTGACGGGTGATAACAGAAAGTTTGAGAAATAAGTTTCTCGCGAGCTATGGATGGAAGATGACAATCATTTTTTTGCGGAAAATATCAAAAAGATTAGCGTTACTTCAAAAGTCACAATTAAAAAGAATGTGATTTTCGAATTATCAATAAGTCGGGTAAAAATTATTCTAAAGTAAATTAACTTAAGGAGATCTTAGACGATTTATCATATTTTAAATTACATACAGACGATTTATGTATCATTGACACATTATTACATGCTACTATATCAATATCTCACGCACACATATACATAAATTTTCGTGTAATAACGGTTTTTTAATTATATTAAATTTAATTTTAAGACGTTACTTTTTCGTGCAAAACTACTAGTCTGTGGAATGGACTACTATTTTGTAAGTACAGATTGCATAACTTTTGTATAAAGCAAAAATGTTGTCACGATATGACAACTCTGGAACGCTATATTGAACTAAGAAATGATAAAGATCTCAATTTCGAAATTTTTTATCGTTCCGATATAAACTTAACTTCACATTATATTTTAATTCTGGAAAAAAATTTCCAAATCTGTAAAAGAGGAAAAAATTTTATACAAAAATTATATGATTTAGTCGATAATACAGATGATTTTACGATCCCTTTAACTCCCATAGTTTGCCCACCAAATAATACTTGTGTTGCTCTCATAAGCCGATATTTATAGTCGATTCTTATATTTGAGACTATCTCAAGTAACACAATCTTAGGGTCGTAGCAGAAAGATTGACTTGTAATCTTAAGCGTCTTATGATTTAAGTCTTTAGTAAGTCCGGATCTAGATTTTTATGCTTTAAGTCATAAGAAATGGACGAATCACAATCGATTATTCTATTCGGCTGTAATTCATGATCAGTTTCTTAAGATTTAAGACTTAAAAGACTATTGTAGATCTGGACTTATGCACAAGAACTATCTTATGTCTTAAGGTGTATAAATACTAAATACGAAGTGCCTTTAAGACATAAGTCATAAGACAGTTCTTGTGCTACTGAAGACGTAAGACTTAAGTCATAAGACACTTAAGTCTTAAGATTAGTCAATCTTTCTGTTATGGTCCTTAAGATGTTATAAGCTAATTAGAGAGCATTAGCATCTCTTAACATTACTTAAAATGATCTTAAAATAAGAACGGATTATGAATACCGCCTTTAAAATTTTCAAAAAGATCATAATGTCTATTACCAGAATGGACACGTTTTAAGTTGAATTGTTTTTATGAGTAAAAAAAGAAAGTTTTCTACAGAGAACATTTAGAGTTAAGACAATTTTAATGATCGAAGTTTGAGGATTATTTGTTTTATTTTAAATTTAATTTAATTATTTTAGCTGATGAAAGGAAATAAAAATGTTGGTAACATTTCGAGTTACGTCACTTTTGATGAATTATTATTCCGAATTTGTTATAATTTTTTAGGATATCATCGTCATATAATTCTAAAAAGATATTTTTTTAATAGTTACACGATGTTTGATTATGTTTCTAAGAGTACATTCATTTTGTAGATATTATTTATTTTTAATCAGTAATTTTTTGTTAAGTTAGTAAATTGTTTTTCTCCTTTTCTGAAAAATCGAATTTTTTAGTTGTGTCACTTTTGAAGTGGGGACCGATATCCATGATACTCTGAATTTAATTCTTCGAATCATGGTGGATTATAGCCGAAACAGAATCGATTGACGCTCGATGATCAAAACGAACGATCGTGGAATTTTCGCGAGAAACTCACAGACCTGTCGCGATTAAAACGCGATATCTACGATTTATCCGCTGATAAGAACGTAAACAGTGGAAATACCGTTTTTTTTTCACAATACATCGCCAGTCAATCGTCGCGCGTGTGCACCGGACAATGCGAAGGATACGCAAAAGCGAAAACGTACATCTGACTGTGAGATCATCGCCGCATACACAAGGGAACCGATTGCTTACGTGTGCAAGGAAAAAACCGAAACGCGCAAAAGCGCGAGTGCATGTGGTGTTCGCGCTTTTGCGTTCGGGAGGGAACAAAGATACATGACGTGAGGCTTTTTTGATGAAAATGGCTTGTATGTAAAGGTTAATCTATAGCGTGGTATTTGCTTCCTGTTTCTTAGATTTCGCATGCTCTAACATGCTCCTATCATAGCTTCTATTCACTCCAATAGATTCATTAGAGTGAGTAGAAATTATGGCAGGAGCATGTTGGAGCATACAACGTGTACAAACCTCTTGTTTCTTGTCTTTCCTCTTTTTATAAATGTTTTATCAATATTGTTTCTTGTCTTTTCTGAAGTTTATCAATTTTTATCTCGAACGACAAAAAAGAGAGAGACAGAATAAAGCTTAAAGCCTATTCTACAATGTGCTTTTTACTATTTTTTACTTTTTGCTTCTTATTATTTGGTTTTTTGTTTTATGTCACCAGAGATAAAAGTTAACGAATTTCGAAAGAAACAAGAAATACATAGCAAGAAATATTGTCGATAAAATGGTTGCAAAGGAGAAAAAAGCAAGAGACAGGAAATAAAGAACACATTGTAGAATAAGCTTTAAACATAATTGAAAAATAATAGAAATAGAGAATGACATATTTCAAGTTATCAGATATTGAATATTCTGCAGATATACACAATTTCTGATTGATTGAAATTATTCTTTGTTTCTATTTTCTGTGTTTTTTTAATTGTGTCCTAAGCTTAAAACTCAATTGAAAATACAGGCAATGGTAACAAGGACTAATATCTAGATATCTAGATTTTTTAATTGTGTCTCAGATTTTATGGGTTGAAATTCCCTGTTTCTATTGTTTATCTGCTATTCAATTGTCTCAGATTTCAGAAGAAAAAAAGAAACAAACATTTAACAAAGAGCATTGTAGATTAGCTTTAACTAGTATCTATTCGATCGGAGCTAATCGATAGTCGAATTAAATAAAATACAGAAAACGATGTTAATTAGCTTTGTTCAATAGAAAAAAACAGTTTTGCACAAAACAGAAATGATGTAATATATATTTTTTAATATACTCTAAATTTTTTGAAGTGAAATTTTTCTCTAAAGAATAAAAACTGAGTAACCTTGAAAAAGAGTAACTCCATTTTCAATCTTAAGAGTGAGATTGACTCTTCAAACTGAGATTTCAAATTTTAAAGAGTAATTTACACATTTAAATCCAATGAGGAATTAAAAACCAAGACCAATCATATTTAAAAAAATATACAATAGTTTCAAGTTGTTTTTCTGCTGAACGGAATTATTAGAAAATATCCGTTACAGTATGATCGGTTAATTATATTTGAAACATTCAACAAATTTTTATATTCGCATTCGACGGCTTCTCTAATGCAACTGATATAAGGATCCGTCTCCGTTTACAAAATTCTAAGTGAAAGGACATAAAATGACTGCAACGCCCGGATCATGCAGCGGAATACTGTACCAAGATTTTACGTTACATCGGGAACGTGTCGTTCAGTGCGATCGTTGAGTTACAGTGACGCAAAAAAAAAAAGGAAAAAACAAACGTCGCAAAAAGTCACGACGCGCGATACCGAGTCCCGCATGCCGACCTATTCGCAGAGCCGTCGCGGCGACCTCGACGGCGTCGGCCGATAAGTCATCGTGCGGACGCGCGTTAAATGACATAACCCGCGACGTTCACCAGTGCGAGCGAGGGGAAAGAGGATGAGTGAGAGAGAGAGAGAGAGAGAGAGAGAGAGAGAGAGAGAGAGAAGCGGAGTCGTGTAGTATCACCACCGTTCTCTCGTTCTTGCGCGTTGAAAAGTTGCGGCCCCGAAAACGCGCGGCGCCGTTTCGACCTCGCGGCCGTGGTCGCTGCGTTTATTCCTGCATAGAAACGCAATTTTTTTGTTCCTTCTCTCCAATCTTGGATCTTATTCTTTTATTTTTCCTGTTTACTATAACCTTTTGTTCTTTGTGAAGAAAAAAAAGAGCTTTGTTATATCTTCTGTTGTTCTATATATAATTCACGACAGAATTCGAAACAGAATTCTATTTATAATTTTATCAATTTATTATATATTATTATAAATACAATTACATTATGATGAGAAAATTTCTTGTATTACAAAAAATATGATTTCGAATATGTAGGTTAAGTTGTAATTTATGTTATTTATATATGAATAAGGTTTGCCTACGATTGGATACGACTCTATTCATAGCGCTTATAGATTTTCAATTTTTATTACACCAGATACAATTGACTAACCTACAATTGACTAACTAAATAAGTATTTATACCCTGGATATACTTGATACGTCTTTTATATTTATAAAATAGCGCATTGAGTTTACTTTAGATGATCTACAATTTGCGATCAAATTACAGATAAAATTTTACTTATAATTTTATATGCCATTTATTCTAAATATATGTCTAAATGTATGTCCTACTACATATTTTGTATATATGTGACTTGTACTTCTTTAAATATTATACACGACACGCAAAATTATAAATAGAATTCTGTTTTGCATTTGATCGCGAATTTTAGATCTAAAGTGGGCTTTATAGTTATAAATTTATAGTTATAACTTTGATTATTTGTTTTCCATATTATATGATGCATAAAATTATAAATAGAATTCTGTCTCGAATTCTATCGAATTATACATCGTCTAAAGTGAGCGTTAGTCTTTGTGCACAAGAAATATTAGAAGTAGAAATAAATATTCTACATTGAAATTTTTGATTAAAAATGGAACCAAAGTTTTCTGGTGAAATTTATTAGAATTTTAGTTGAAATAATCGAAATTCTGTTTGATACAATAATTGTAGGAAAATCTACTAGAATTTTTACAAGATAATTATATCAATCAGAATTCCAGTTATTTCAATTAGAAGTCTAGTAGATTTAATCAGAAATCAGACAGTAGATTTAATCGGAAAATTCTTTATCCATTTTCCATCAGAATTATTACATATTTAATCCAACCAGACCTCTTTTTTTTTTTTTTTTTTTCCTTGTGTATGTACCTATCATGATTAGATCATTCATAGCATTTTTTTCTTTGAAAGGACCTATTTCATAACGCAAATTTTGTTATCATTCTACCGCTGCGCAATGGCGTTATAACGATAATGAAACTTACGTTAAGAGTTACAGAATAAACATACTGGCTAAATAATGCTCTTTATCTTCTTTTTTTTATTACGACTTTACAAAATTTTCTGAATAAATGTTAAAGTATACGTAAAAAAATCATTTAATAATTTTTATACTTGTAAGGCCCAGTTTTTTGTTTTCCAATTAACTTTTGATTTAGACTAAAGGCGCCTCCAAATGATACAATCAACATATGCCAACATTAACAAATATCATACACATATATAACATATATAATTATCCATATTGAATGTAATCAATATTTAGTGAATGTGTGCAGTTGACCATATCATGGAGGCACCTTTACAGGCTTTTTACAATAAATCATTATCTACAACCAGAGAATGGTTAAAGAAAAAAATTTCTTTGATTTAAACAATTTTTTTTTTAAACAATGTAAGTAATGTGGCTCAATAAATTATAAATTTAGTAATATAACAAAAGAGGGCTACGAGCCAAAAAATTATATTATATCGTTAGTATTTATAAAAGATATATTAAACAAAAAAATTTTTTTTAAGTTAAATAAAAAAATTTATTTGATTAAAAAAAATTATGTTTAAATAAAAAAAATGACGTTCAAATCAAAGAAATTTTTTTTAATCATATAGTAAAGAAACACTTCTTTGAATTAAAGAAATTTTTCTTTAGATGTAAGCTTTAAATCTTAAGCCGTAAGAAATTGATCAATCACAAGTGAATGTGAGAAGAATAATCGACTGTGATTAATTTCTTACGGTTTGAGATTTAAAGCTTAGGTAATGACTATTGTAGAAAATTTATCAAGCTTGAAATACAATTGAAAATCACGAACAATAACAACAAGGAATAACAGATTTCAACTTGTTTGAAACCGTGTATACCAGAATGCACAGTTTCTGATAGGTTGAAAATCTATTATATTTATTTCTTATTCCTAACATGTTTTTCAACTGTGCATGAGATTTTAATCTCATTTAATCTGATAATAATGTAAAAATTATTTTTAGTGATTAGTTTTTTAAACTATGACTAATCACTAAACTGATGGTTTCTTAGTGGTATTTTTAGAAGTCACTACAAAATTAGTTCAGTAACTAACTATAGCTAGAAAAATACAATTTTTACATTAAGAGGATAAATCTAATTATTACTATAAAATTAATTATATACTACTATAATTATTACTATAAAATTAATTATATACTACTATAATTATTACTATAAAATGAACTATAAAATGAAAAACTGGGCCTATACATAGAAAAATAAGCAAGTAATAATTATTTCAAGTATTTCACAAGTTTATATATCCGCAAATCTATCATAAGTTCATCCAAAAGCATTAAATTTATTCAAAATATATTCTGAATCCTAGTAATACTAGGATTATTACTTTAGAATATTAGGATTTAATACTTCAATCAAATTTATTAAATTAAAACAAATTCAATTTGCTTATTATGAAAAGTTTGTTTCTTCGATCAATTTCATAATATTCCTCAAAAGAAAATAAATTCTTGTTTTGAGTATATAATAACATTCTTGTGTTGAGTTTTTCTAAATAATAAGTATATTTTAAGATTATTATCAAGAAAATATTCTTTGTTAAAAATAACCGTTACTTAAAAGAAAAAAAATAATTGAATAATCTTATCTTAGCAGTAGATTGATATTTTTCTGTGTGTAAAAATGAAAATTAACTCATGAGATCAACACATCCGCGTGTTACGAACGATTTATCGTATCGGAAAATCTTTTTTCGTACAT